GCCTGTAGTCCCAGCTACTTGGGAGGCTGAGGCAGGAGACTCGCTTGAGCCCAGGAGTTGGATGTTGCTGTGAGCTGTAATGTCACGGCACTCTACCCAGGGGGACAGCTTGAGGCTCTGTCTCAAAAAAAAAAAATTAATTAAAAAATAAAAAAATTAGCTAGGCATTGTGGCTTGCACGGGTAGTTCCGTCTATTTGGGAGGCTGAAGTGGGAGGATTGCCCTAAGCCAAGAGTTTGAGCTTGCTGTGAGCTAGACTAATGCCAGGGCACCGGAGCTTGGAGCAACACATTGAGGCTTTGTCTCAAAAAAAAAAAAAACGTATTACGAATACACTTAGAAAGGCTATATTGGATTATATTGATGGTTGATCCCATGGGATAAGTCATCTCCCCCTAGGGAACACTTTCTTCATTCATTAGAGACAATGTTAGGAATGTTTACATTATTCCTAATCAGTAATTTTGGGTTATTTTCCATGTATAATTTTTTTTTTTGGGCTGGGGTTTGGTCCGAACCTGCCACCTCTAGCACATGGGGCCGGTGCCCCACCCTTTTGAGCCACAGCTGCTGTCCCTTCCATGTATAATTTAATCCCTTTTTGGTCTTAAGAATTATAGAATTTTGCCACTGAAAAGAACCTTCTCTTTGTACGTTCACTTATTCCACATTTTAGCGTCTCTTGTGTGCCAGGCATCATTGCTCTAGAAGCTGATAATATAAGAATGAAGAAACAAAAAATCCTGTTGTTGTGGATTATATTTTAATTGGGGAAACACATTGTAAATAAGAGAAATAAGTTGAATGAATGAGTAGGGAGAAATAAAGGAGGAGGGAATAGAGAGTATCATGACTGAGGATTTACTTTTTAGTTAGCAGTGACCAGAATGCTTCATTAAGAGGGTACTGTGGGAAGCTCTGCATCCGTAGCTCAGTGAGTAAGGGCACCAGCCACATACACCAAAGCTGGCAGGTTTGAGCCCAGCCCGGGCCTGCTAAACAACAATGACAACTGCAACAAAAAAATAGCTGGGCGTTGTGGTGGGCGCCTGTAGTTCCAGCTGCTCAGGAGGCTGAGGCAAGAGAGTTGAGTAAGCCCAAGAGTTTGAGGTTGCTGTGAGCTGTGACACCATAGCATTCTATTGAGGGCACCATAGTAAGACTCTCTCTCAAAAATAAATAAATAAATAAATAAATAAAGTCAATATAGAAAAAACTCTTAACTTAAAGAAAAAAAAAGAAAAAAGACCTGCAAGAAGTGAAGGATCATGTCACGGGAATGTCTAGGAAGAGGGAACAATATTTCAAATACACCAAGAGAAGAGTATGCCTTATGTTCTTGAGGAAAAGCAAAGAATTTAATGTAGGACAGAGAGCAAGAGTAGGTAGATGTGTCGTATGTAAAGGCTGAGAATGGAGAAGAAGAGATTATGGAGGGCTATTGTGAGGATTTTGATTTTTACCCTAAATGAGCTCTCAAAATATTAGTGACTTTTGAGGTCAGTCTCTTTTAATGCTTTTATTTATAATTGACTAAATATAGATCTAAATTACTTACCCAAAGTAACATTAGCAATTTAGTATTTTGGATTTATGAATTTCAGACTAGCAAATTACTACAGTTAAATAGGTAGTGTTTCTTGAGGAAAACTTTGTATTTCAGATTGTTTTGTGCTTTGTGTTTGTATTTCTTCTTTTTTTTTTATTAAATCATAGCTGTGTATATCAATGCAATCATAGGGTACAATGTGCTGGTTTTATATACAGTTTGAAATATTTTCATCAAACTGGTTAACATAGCCTTCACGGCACTTTCTTAGTTATTATGTCAGGACATTTATATTCTACATTTAGTAAATTTTGCATGTACTCTTGTAAGATGCACTGTAGGTGTGGTCCCACTGATTACCCTCCCTCTACTCATCCTCCCACTTCCCCTCCCCTCCCCTTGTGTTTGTATTTCTTTTTTCCTTTGAGTTTCACTTTGTAGCCCTTAGAGTGCTGTAGTATCCTAGCTCACAGCACCTCCTGGGCTCAAGTAATTCATTTGGCTCAGCCTCCTGAATAGCTGGGACTTCAGGTGCCTGCCACAATGTCTGGCTATTTTGTAGAGATAAGAGTTTTGCTCAGGCTGGTCTCAAATTCGTGAGCTCAAGCAATCCACTGGCCTCAGCCTCCCAAGTGCTAGGATTATAGATGAGCCACTGTGCTCTGCCTTATAGTTTTTTTTTTTTTTGAGACAGAGTTTCACTATGTCACCCTCGGTAGAGTACTGTGGCATCACAGCTCACAGCAACCTGAAACTCTTGGGCTTAAGCGATTCTCTTGCCTTAGCCTCCCAAGTAGCTGTGATTACAGGTGCCTGCCACAACGCCCAGCTGTTTTTTTCTTTCTGTTGTTGTGGTTGTTGCAGTTGTCTTTGTTTAGCTGGCCCAGGCCGGGTTCAAACCCACCAGCCTGGGTGTATGTAGCCGGCGCCCGACCTACTAAGCTATGGGTGCTGTCTGCCTTATAGTTTTTAAATTAGCTTATTCTTATGTCCAGACTTCTTTTGTCCCATTTGACCTAAGTAGCACATTGGGCTTATGTATATTTCATTCTTAAATAGCTTTGCTTAATCACACTTGATTGTAAATAGCTTATACTTAAATATAATGTGTTTTTTTCCCCTAAATTCATTAGCCAACACTGACTTAGCCAGCATCATAACCTTGTTAGAAATTCCTTCAAACTTCCTTTTTTTTTTTTTTTTTTTTT